AAGAAGAAGAAGAAGAAGAAGAAGAAGAAGAAGAAGAAGAAGAAGAAGAAGAAGAAGAAGAAGAAGAAGAAGAAGAAGAAGAAGAAGAAGAAGAAGAAGAAGAAGAGGTGATTGGATTTATACCCCACCCTTCACTACCCAAAGGTAGAGCAGCTTACAAACTCCTTTCCCTCCCCAAGGTCATTTCCTGCAGGAGCGCACAGGAGCCCAGGGGGTGGGCACATGCAACAAGCCCCACCCCCTGCTCCCAGCAGCCCTCAATCAGAGCAAGAAACTGCCAGGTAAGTTGCAGAGTCCCCACCCACCCATCCCGGTCCAAAACAGTCACCTTTAAGACCCAGTTTTATTCAGGTACAAGCTCTCCCTCCTCTGCGAGGACAGATCTGCACATCCCCCCCCAATAGCTAGGAATCCAAAACAGTCCAGTGGAGCCTGAGCGGTGGGTGTTGCCTTCTGACACACTTCCGGTGATGTCAGGGGGTGTGGCATATGCAAATAAGTTATGCTAATGAGTTATGCTAATGAGCCCCTGCACCTCTTTTTCTACGAAATGACCCCTGATGACAATGATACATTGTGTAAGAACACGGGAAGAAATGTAGTTGGGATTTGGAAATGCAGTTCCACATGACTTGTCTGAGCTAGTCAGAATTGAGGAACTTGGAAAAACCACAGGAAAACTTGTGATGTTTACCCCGGAGAGGACAAAACCCTAAAAGAAATAAGATTCGAAAGGAGGAGATGGCTGACGACTAGTTCTGTGGCTCAGGCAAAATGGGCCCTTTTAGTTCAGATTGCCACTGAAACCAGCCTTTGCAAAACTGAAATCCCCTCCCCCATTAAAAAAAAAAAAAGCCCCACCAAATTTAAATTGTCGGCTTACTGCTTGTCCGTGCGGACGATCCCATAGTGCGTTGGCGCCTGGCCTCTGGGGGGAAAAAAGTGTCAACATGGAGAGAGTGCAGTTGGGAAGAGTTCTAGTCATCTAGTTCAAGTGAGAGCCGAGCAAAATTATGAAACAGATAAATCTCAAACACTTGGCTGTCATATCTTTACTGAAAATTTGTTTCCGTTTTATGCCGGCTGAACGGCTATGGCTCCCCTCAGAGAATCCTGGGAATCCTAATTTGGAGATGATGGTGCTAAGAATTGTCTCTATGATATTATACCCTGCTGAGGTCCCTCCCCTCCCCAAATCCCCGCTCTCCCCAGGCTCCACCCCTCCCCAAATCTCCAAATATTTCTCAACCCAGAGGTGGCAAGCCTAGTGGTGATCCATAGCTCTGAGTCTGGTAGGTGAAGCGTCCTAAACTAGACCTTTCCAAAATGGTTTATTTCTAGGGTTGCCAGCTCTGGAAACACCTGGAGATTTGGGGGGGTGGAGCCTGAGGAGGGCGGGGTCTGAGGAAGGGAGGGACTTCAATGGGGTAGAATGCCATAGAGTCCACCTTCCAGAGTGGCCACGTTCTCCAGAGGGACTGATTTCTGTCGCCTGGAGATCCCTTGTAATAGAAGGAGAACTCCGGCCACCACCTGGAGGTTAATAACCACACAAAAATGGATACCGTTGTGCAAACAAATAACCAGAATAATCTGTCCCGCTGTACAAATCACACTCGAGACTTCCGTCTTCTCATACAGTTCTACTTACCCCTACAAACAATACACATAACAACAAACGGTTTTGCCACCGTGCATAAATGACATCTGCGCCAGTTGAATAGTGACCTGATACCCTTTTGAAAGCACAAGTCTCTCTTTAGAATGATGCGGTCACCAGTTCATGGTGCAGCAGAGTAGAGTTTCCAATAGAAAACATGCAATGGACGGCACGGGCTCAAGACTAGCTGAAGCACGAACCGAAGGAGAGGTGATGGCAAGATTCAAAATGACTTAAAAGCCAGCCAACATGGGCTGGTGATCAGAGCCTGATTCCTAGCTATTTGGAATATACTTGTAGGTCGAATCTGCATTTGTCTTTCCCACCGGTGTCCCAGCCTTCTGACTCTATCTTCAAAAAAGCTGTCTACATTTGGTTTCATTTTCACACCTCAACAGTGCTAGCATACTTTTGCATGTCTGCATATGTTTATCGCCCTCTCGGGGTGGCTCCACCGTCATTGCGCCTCTGCACTGCTTTAAGAAGAATCTTCTCCAAACAACATTCAAACAAGCATAGAGAAAGACGGCGTCACAGCAGCACGAACAGCACGAAACTGATTTAAAAATGCAAATGCAGGTTTGACCTTCGTGTCATTTCGAATCTTACCAGAGCTGGTAGGCTCCATCACTAAGAAAAGCAGCCTGGTGAAGCCCTAAGAAACAGCAATGCAACCTAGGTGTGCACACAGTTCCCTGGACAGAAGGAAATTGTGATTAAACTAGTTGAAACGTGTAGCGTAGTTGCGTCCTCAAGTAATTATAAACAGTAGTGGGTAAAACAAAGATTCGAGGCACACGCTGTGCATTTTGCGGGGAAGACTAATGAGAGCAACGATCCGTCAGATTTCCCAGCCCTTCATTCCTGACATCTCAACAGCAACTGAGCCCCAGCGGCAAAGGGTTTGATTCCCGTCAACATTTAAAAGTACAGTAGGCTTACTCATTGACTTGATTGTTGCTCCTTCTGTTGAATCTAGGGACAAGAAGTACATGCAATGAAAGGAAAACAATGGAATTCACTGCCACCGAAAGTGGTGGCGGCTACCAGCATAGGCAGCTTCAAGAGGGGATTAGATAAACATATGGAGCAGAGGTCCATCAGTGGCTGTTCTTGTAAGGTATACATGGAGCACTCTTTCTGGGGCAGTGATGCTCTGTATTCTTGGTGCTTGGGGGCCCACAGTGGGAGGGCTTCTGGAGTTCTGGCCCTGCTGGTGGACCTCCTGGTGGCACCTGGTTTTTGGCCACTGTGTGACACAGAGTGTTGGACTGGACGGGCCACTGGCCTCATCCAACGTGGCTTCTCCTATCTTCTTCACACTAAATTAGGGCTGCCAAGCTCCAAGCGCTAGTTTTGTAGTGGTTACGTGTGTGGGAGATCGGGGTTTGATTCCCCACTCCTGCACTTGAAGCTGCTGGATGACCTTGGACAAGCCATAGCTCTGTCAGAGCTGTTCTCTCAAGGACAGTTCTGTCAGAGCTCTCTCAGCCCCACCTAATTCACAGGGTGTCTGTTGTGGGGAGGGGAAGGGAAAGGAGTTTGTAAGCCGCTCTGAGACACCGAATGAAGGGCAGGGCATAAATCCAATCATCATCACACCATCATCTATCTCCTCCACCACCTCCTTCTTCAAGTGGGGTCTGGAGACCTCCCAGAATCACAACAGACCGCCAGGCTGTGGAGATCAGTTCTCCTGGAAGAAGTGGCTGCTTTCGAGAGCGGGCTCCATGGCGTCATACTCAGCTGAGGTCCCTCCTTTCCCCGAACTCTGCTCTTCCCAGGATCCACCCCAAATCTTCCAGAGTTTCCCAACCCAGAGCAGAGAACCCAAGCCTCCAGCGATTTAAAACCAACCCAGCTCTCTGTGCTTTCCACACTTTAAAAATAAATAAATCCAAATCCTGCATCCAGGCTGTCCAGATCGGTGCTAGAATGATTGGAGGGGGGAGAATCCTTAATGAAATCCAAAAAAAAACCCCACTGCCTGACTTCCCACAGTTCCAGCCCCTCCACTTGTCCTCATAAGCCGCAGCCCCAAGCTCTGTCTCGACGGGAGGCTGTAAAAATTGTTTGCACAGACTCCGTTCCGTTCGGGAAGGGCTCTGAAGACTTCAGCATCGTCTCAGTTTTGACAGTCACTTTCCACTGAGAGGAGCTGCGGTGGCTCAAGTGGTTAAGACGCTGATATGCAGGCTGTGGAAGGTCGGTAGTTCAGCAGTTCGAGACCCGAGTGTGCCGCATGACGGGGTGAGCTCCCGCCTCTAGTTCCAGCTCCTGACGGCAGTTCGAAAGCAAGACATTGCAAGTAGATAAATAGGTACCACGTCGGTGGGAAGGGAACAGCGTTCCGTGCGCCTTGGTGTTTAGTCATGCCGGCCACATGACCACGGAAACGTCTTCGGACAGCGCTGGCTCATCGGCTTTGAAACGGAGATGAGCACCGCAACCCTAGAGTCGGATTCGACAGGCTTTCGAGCAAGGGAACCTTTACCTTCCACTGAGAAGCACCGTCAGGGTCCTTAGTCAGGTTACACCACACAGGGCTTCGTAAGAAGGTAACTGTTTATTGGTAATTTCCAGTACTAAAGACATGTGTACAGCTTGTGTCAGGTGGACCACAAGTTAGCACATCTGGAGGCCGTCCTCACTCCCTGAAGAGAGCAAAGTCGGGTTGCCGGCCCTCA